TGAGACTGAGAGGCAATTGGATTTCCTCCCATTGTTACAGGACTATGCGACCTCATCCCTCAAATCCCGACCGAGGACGTTTGAGCGTTGAATGAATGGTTCAGGTTGAAACTAGGGACACGCGCGCGTAGGTATGCTCTGCTGACGAAAGCTGATCTTTCTCTAGCATTTGGCTGGGGGAAGCACCCAGTACGAGGATTAGTGCGGAAAGGTCTAGTATGAAAATAGCCAGATCGAAGCTGTATCCTGTCATCCGTCAGTGGAAGGTTGAGTGTCATCGTATCATCTCAGCCTCCTGGGAATCATTGGAGATAGTGTTTGGTCGGATCAGAACAGTACAGCCATGGTTCCGGGAATTATTGGACCTGAGACCAGTTAATGGATCCTGAAATAGGGGAACAGATGCCGAATGTTCCCCTGGACAGGGAATGGAGATTAGCTGCCGAGGTCCCGCTGCTACTAGCCATCCTCGGCCGCAACTGTCGAACAATATGAAGAATATAGTGGTGGTTTCACATAGGGCAGAGGTAAGACAAAAAAGAAGGGGGTGGGAGTAAGTTATGGGTAACTCGCTGACAACTTCACACCTCGCAGCACTCAGGTTCTTCGGAACTACCTGATCTTGCTTAGTTGCATCTCGCATCGGTGAACTCTGCTGCACTCCGGGAATGGGCCGGGGGTGGATTGGCGATGATCGATGTGGACCCCCCAGCAATGACGATAACATGTACGTTTGTACTAAGAACTTCATTGGTCTCTAGTCAGCACTTCTGAGCAGGCCCAGATAAGATGAAAAGTTGAGGCTTCGACGAGAAATCTTCATTGAGTTTGATTATGATAGACACAGGCTCAAGTGTCCCAATGATTATTGTCATTGACCATTTGCCCAGCCAAACCCCTCCTGATCGGGAGCACCATACACTGGCTGTCTTGGATCTGTAATACCACAAAATGGATTCGACGTCGATAGGGCGGATGCATGTTGATGGTGGTGGTGGTGCTGCCGCTACCACAACGACGACAATAGCCCACAAAAGCCACCCTTCCTCAGGCCGCCACCGCATCGTACAGTATAATCCATGAGCCATCATCAACCCTGCAGGGAAAAACCAAATAATTTGATTCCAAATTCAATCTGAGCTGCCAGCCCCCTCCAGAATAAAAAGGAAAGCAATACCCAGCCTGCAACAGAAAGAACTTAACTAACCACCCAAGTGAATGGTTCCTTACATAACCTTACTTCCCCGGACTTGCTGACCCGCATATAGATTTTATGCATCCACCAACTAACTATTACATGAGTACTGACTGATATGCTCGACATGACCAAAACCCCTGTGCTACATGTCTGAGTACTTCTATCGAATATGATGGAACAATACGATCTGGCTCCGAGGCCCATAGTCGTAGCAATTTAGATCCCCAGCCGTTGCTTATCACGTTACATAAGTTCCACCACGCAATTCCCTTTGTGAGGGCATGGCTCCGCCGGCGCGCACATGCCCGACTCTCTCCGAGACTGGGGGGGGAGGGGGAGGGGCGGGAGAAAAGGGGTGAGAGTGTGTTGTTGTGCCACAAGCAGGCAAGGCAAGAAGGTGGATTGGGGGGCAGTTCATGTAAACTTATGAAATCTCGCCGGCCCCGTTCGCACTTGCTGCCCCTTTCCTTTACAGCTGTGTTGTTCCCTGCACCGGTCTCTCGAGAAGTTGGCTAAAGAAGATGACGATGACCACCTATCGGTAACTATACTACTGTAGCCAACAACGAGGGCCGCACTTTGCACAGCTGCGATCGCGTCACCAACTGTCTGAAACTGACCCTTCATGAATCATGCTACACGATCAATGTCATTGTGTTCCGGCCATGGAAGGCCAAAGAGCGGGCTAGATTCTCCCATGCCGCATACTAAGTATAGTACAGTACTACTATACCTGTACTCAAGTTACCACTGTCACCACTGTCACGACCATCACGACTTACTGTGCCCGATATGCCACCACAAATAGAATATGGTCTTGGTGCTGCATTAGATAGGGTACGAGAGCGGAAAAGGAAAAGACAAGAGGCCAACGGATAACATACACACACATAATATAGTTACAGAAACAATACACCACCACTGTGCGTCACCCGAGGTAATTTGGTTTCCCCTTCATGGGCAAGGTGTATCAAGTTCATGGAAACCCTAGAGAGAGGATACTGTGACTAGTGTACGGAGACGTCGTGCACATATAGCCTAGCCTTTCTAGATCTTGCTACGTGGTCTGGAATCCAGACAACCAGTGTCTGAATGGTCTAGCCAGTCTTTACTTGACCCCAACACACTCTACTTTGGTTGTCATACATCCCGAGATCGACGGAACGATCCAGATTTCAATCATTAAAGAACTTCTCCAACTGCTGGCCCCAGCCTATCAATAGAAACCCCATCCGTCGGGCGTTCTAGCCTGGTACTTTTGTTGGACAGATTTCCAACTCGCCAACTCAAAAAAGAGACAGACCACACCACTCCACCACCACCACTGCAGGCAGGCGACGGAAATTCCTGCTTTTTGCACACGCATGCTTGAGTGTAACCAACCCAAGTTTCCGGATTGTTGTCGTCGTCGCTAACCCATCGCGCCTGGGTCCCAATTGATACCCCCGGCAGGCGACGCCATACCCATTGGCCTCCTTGACCGGTCGCACAGCATGGTGCGTCACCACTGCTGAGTTGTTCGATTTTCTCTGTTTCGAATATTCGCACCGGCAAAGAAGCACTCGCAACTTGCGCGCTTGCAGGCGTCTCTTCGCTGCGATGTTTTGCATGGTGACAGGCCGCTAAACATAGACAGGCCATTGTACAGAGATAGACACTACTCGTAAGCTAGCTATCCTCTAGGATCCAGAAACGCATCATTCCCCCCCTTGCTTTGCGCTCACGCCCGTCGTCTCGTCATGAGGTTTCCCGTGGTCAAAAATCCCTTATCTCCCATCGCACCTCGCCACTCAATGGATAATTGGCCTAGAGCAGCCCGTCCATCTCGTCTCATATCTTTCTGTAGGGCCTCGAGGCCTTCCTGCTGCCCTTCCTCTTGTTCAACCAGGAAAGCGACCTGCAGGACATCGCGTGGATGTAAAGTTGGCGGCTGGGAATCTTTGAATTCGGTTCGTTCCAAGTCCCAGTTCAAGGAGATGGACTTGAATGGTGGTTTGGGATTGAGTCGTGTTTGCTGCCAAAATTAGTATGCGTGCGGCAAGATCTCGGCCATGCTACTGAAAATCTCCAAAGGAAACATCCCCCACCATCTGCAACCTACCTTGACCACGACCGGGCCATCGCCCACATTTTCTAGTTGGGCCTCTAGCGCGAAGCGGAGCAAGCGCGTCTTCCCGTACGGGCCCAAACTCTTGTTTTCCACTTCAAGTGGCACCAATTCGGAAGCTTTGGTCCGTACACTCAGACAGGGCTGAGCGACAAATTGATAGAGTTTGCGGAATGTCCGGACTCTGCCGCTTGCTGCCTGGGCATCCGAGCCTATCGACGTCTCCGTGTAGCTCACACTGACCGCCAGTATGTGATTGCCCTCCTCCTTGAGATCAAACCGTACGATTTTCTGCAGAGATTGGCCTGTCTGCAATCCGTCCTTCTGGGATGTGTCTTCCGCAGGTTCGAGATCCAATGCCGCGACCTGAGAGGGCGTTTGCATTTCAGCGACAACACGGACAGAGGTGACAACACGTGACGCCTCATCTGCGGACAGCTCATTGTTTGCACTGAGCGTGCATGCAAATGTCTCGCCGACGTATGCAGATCCGAAGGCAGGAGGTAGGGTCAGCTTGTAAGATTCGTGTCAGTAGCCGAACATCAGACCATGACTGCATCGATTTACATTGGGAGTGAGGATGAATTGACCGTCCGTGTGATCGGCGGGGTAGCTTAGTGATGCTTTGCTCGAGATCTTCGTATTTGCCGCCGGTAAGGGATACTGGTAGTATAGGGAAGGACGAGATAGCCTTGGTCGATATTGTCAGGAGAGAAGTGCGCGATGAAGTTGTCGTTGATAGGAGTAAGGTGTTCAACAGGAATGCAGTCGCTTACCGCAAGACTGAACGAGCATCAATCAATCAGCCAAGTGCTTCGTCAGGGGGGAGAGAACTTCGGTTATGCCATTCTTACCTTTAAGTGAGATTGCATGGGGCTCCTTGGGGCCATCTGCGCCCGAATGAGCACGAGGGCGTGCCATTTTAGTTGATGGAGAGTTCTGTGTAGGTAACAGTAGCTCCGACGGATGAACGTCATTTCAGAACCCCATACTCGGGCGGCGTTGAGGGCGGTGAAGCGCCTGCAATTATACTTGCTCCATACAATTTTGCGGAGTACAAATGTCTCCGTCCGTACGGAGCAGAATGCTGTCTTAATTCGGCGTAGCCTTTTTGTATACCATGTTCATGGAAAAGGTCTAGTGGCAGTGGTGTTGAAATTACTGCTGGTGTCAGTAGCGAACACTTAGCCCAATTATCCAAGATTTCAAAAGGTACGATGATGTTCATCAAGAGTCCTATAGCAATAGTAGCCTGTAAACAACCCTATAATGACTGACAAAAAGCAGTGTCAATACCCAAATGACAGCGGGCTGCCACTCTCCTGATTAGTCGTTCGACTCACCGCCTCGGGGACCTGGTGTAGATAGTGGGCCTCATCTTCTATAGGCTGAATTCATCCATCTTCACCTCTCTTGTCACATAAAGCAAGGGGAATCTCATACGTACTGAAATGTGACATTCAACCATTGATGTTCATCTTACTCAAGCTACAAGCTTGCTAACTGCGCATCTCAGACCCGAAACATGTGAGCATATTGCAGTACTTGTGTCATGCGGCGGAATTGATTGCTTATCGGCCACTTATCTCTTCCATGTTAGTCGCTATCCGTCGCCACTGCAATCTTGTGAAAGCGACCTGTCATCTGAAGTCCAAGCCCTTCAAGACCACCAGAACCAATTATCTCGTCCTTACGATGGGTGCAGCCTCAAATGCAACTGCTCGCGTGCAGACTGCCAGAGCATCACGGGGTGGGGCTCGAAAGCAGCGTGGCAAGGCAACAACAAGCACATCCGCTGTCTCGAAAAGGAAGCGAACTGCCGATGAGGAGGAAACAATAGCAACAACGACCACTACCACCACCACCACTAGAAGATCGCGAAAGGCTAGTTCTGAGACCACCAACTTATCCAAACTCAGGGATGTTGGTCGGACCGAGCAGTCCTTCACCCGTCCGCCAAAAAAGCCCAGGGCGCAAGGGCCCAGTGAAGAGCGTCGAGAACGTAGATTCAGGCCTCATGCCCCGGTATCCTTCAAAGAGAGGGCTGCACGTGCAATGAGTCAACGGTAAGATCTTTGGACTCAGAATCGCTCGGAATATCGAAGCTAACTGTCTCAAGCATGTTTATTGTTGGGCATACCGTCAATCTTGTGGACGGAGTTCTGAACATGAGCTTCGACATTGTCGGGACCACTGGCAACATCTACAAAACCACCATTGGGAAGGAGCCAACCTGCGACTGTCCAGATGCACGCAAGGGTAACCAATGCAAGCACGTCTGTTATGGTAAGCGTCCCGTTTCTCTTGACAATCCCTCAAATCCTACCATTATGTCGCTATCACTTATCACTCATTGTTATTCTATGGTCCTGACAATCTTGGCTGTTCAAGTATTGATCAACGCCCTCAAAGCGCCGGCGGACCTTCAGTATCAGCTGGCATTTCTATCATCGGTAAGTGGCAGCACGAACATCGTCTCCCGTGCCTGGAGGAATTGCTCACCCGTCTTGCAGGAACTGCGGGCGATATACAACGGTTCCTCGCTCAGCAAAGAGCAACCCGCAGAGGACAACGCTGGGAACAGAAAACCGATCGAAGGAGACTGTCCAATATGCTTCATGGAATTCGAGCCCGAAAAAGAGGAAATTGTGTGGTGTCGAGCTGCCTGCGGGAACAACATTCACAAGACTTGCTTTCAGCAGTGGGCCGCCACCCAGCAGGCACAGGGCGTCAGATGCGTCTATTGGTGTGTTCCCTGCCATATAGATCTTTACAATATGTTACTGACCCAGTCAAGTCGTGCGCCCTGGCAGCCGGATACCGAAAATGTGAATGTGGCGGAGCTCTCCCGCCAAGGCAAAGTCAGTCGGGATGGATACGTCAATGTGGCACAGCATTTCGGCCTCTCGGGCCGTCGCGGTACGAAGCTCTCATTCAGAAACGCCATATGTCGTGACTTAGCACACATGCGAAGAGTAACTAGAACTGACAATTTGACTGATCAGACGTTTCGAGCTACCATCCTTTCTGGGTGCGCCGACAGCAGTACCAGCACGAGGACGACTGGGATTACGATGACTAATTCTGAGGGCATGACAAGAGCTCAGTCTATTTTACGCTGGCTTCAAGGCGTGTTCTTCACTTCCTTTGCCGTCTGGCACGGTCCTAATTCTGCATTTGCATATTTGCTTTCGGTTAGCGGGGAGGATTAGGGAGTCAGCTGCTGCATGCTAGTCTGAGGTTATCTGGCTGGAATGCTCTCAACCTTAGCTTTCATTCGGTCATTTCTATGGCCATTGTTATTATTATTCTCAACTAATATGAGGTGTCTGATAATCTGACACACAGGTGTACTTGAATAATAATTTATCCGCCCAGGAGCTGCACCAATTGATGAGTTAGACCTTATCGATTATCCTTGTCAAATCTTCCAGCGAGCTAGCTAGATCCAAGTGAATTTGGACTGAAGCGAGGATGACCTAGCCGGGTTCGACACGCCCGGAGCCGACCAAGAGAGATTTGTTTTTCAGTGCTGTCAGAAAGGGCGCCGCCATTCTCAGGCGAATTGATCGACCTCACCCATGCTGATGGCACGGGTAGATCAAAGTTGATTGTGCGTTGCTTGTTTCAACAGGTGCCCCACCATGTTTCCCCTCTCAGTAGTGATGATGGTGCTTCGATGGCATGGCGGAATGGAGAATGGGACGAGCTACTTGGACACCTGATGTTCAAGTCCCAAGTGCTTGAGTACGGTGCCTGTATCATTCAACGTCTCACGAAGCATTGACAGTACCGTATTGGCTGAACGACTAATGCTCATGCCAGAAGAGTTCATCTACCGGCCTTAATCACTCTCCTTCCCTCCCTCACCACAACGACACTGACCCCTTCCTCGCCCGTCATCCAGGAGGGCATCCTCTCCGCGTCAATGACGCCCAACTCCGCAAGCTTGCGAATCCCACCAATCACATCCGTACCAGCGAACGTCAGCGAGACTGTTAGTTGTCGAGCGTGCTCTGTTGGCTTTGCATCACCTGGTAAGGCATCGAGTAGCCTAACATCGAGTCTGTCAAGCGGCGCAGAAGACAAGGTACCCGAAGTACCGAATCGGGACTGTAGGGCTAGAGTCCGCTTCTTGGAGGTACCGGCATCCTTGGGGTCGGCGAAAGATCGCTTCGAGGCCCTTTTGTTTTCGAGCGTGACATCCTTTGCGTCAGTCGCCGTGTTCTCTTTCCCGGCCGTATCCTTGGAGTGGACAGACGCTGATTGGCGGTTATGCTCCTCCGGAGAGACGGTGTTGGATGGCCGTGGGTCCAAGGGGCTTCCTTCCAAGGCGGCGTCTGCGAAGATGCTGAATGCGCCGTTGGCCTGGTTGGATCGACCGGGGCCCCGAAGGGCGAGCAGGGCTTCGAGACTCTTTGCTGTTAAGGAAGTGGGTTTGACGGTGTAGCGTTGATGGGGCAGAGAGAGGGCTTTGGGAATCGCATCTCGGACCAGGCGCTGAAGGCTGCGAGCGTCTGTTGCGACGAGGGAGTTTGGGGGAGCCGGACTAGCCTTGGATGCTGTCTGGGGAGAAGCCATGGATGTGTAAAAGAATGGACAACTGTCTGGAAAGGCGACATAAATAGTTCTAGACGAGTCGGTGAGAGATTCGACACTCTGACGAGGAGCAGTTTGGTAAGGCGAGGTGGTGACGAAGACGCGGAGCACTGTGAGGGGGAGAGAGGTCGACCGGGCAAGGTGGTAGTGGGCTTTCACCAGGGGAGAGATTTGTTGCTGGAGGCTGCTTAGGAACGTCGATGCGTGAACGCGCGGTATGCATGCAGAAAATTCGTTCGAGGACGAGTTGTCGATGCGAGCGAGTTCTAAAGCTGTCCAGCGCAGACCCGACGGATGGTCGTCCATGTAGCGCAGGTCGACCATTGCCAGCTGACGAAGTGTGATGCCATGTCGCCAGTCGCCTTCGAGAATCCGATCTATGACTTCGCGTTTCCCCCCTTTTCGAAACTGCAGCTCCTGGTAGGCGTTGCGGACCCCGTTGATAGTCCGCTCAGCGGGATAGGGACGGAGTCCATCGTCACCGTCATCCTCTTCTCTTTTGCCGCTTTCGTTGCCTTGAAGATATGGCGGAAAGTGCTGAACATTGCCATCCTCAAGCCACTGAAAGACAAGGTCAAGTAAAGCCTGGCGAGTCAGCTTGCCAAACGTCTTGACTAGCGATGGGGTGGAAGAAGGTATGCGAAGGTTGCTAGGAAGACTGGCAGTAGTGGGAGCACGAATGGCTTTAGACCGAGCCATTGTGACTGGCGACTGAATATAGTATTAAGAGCCAAGTTCGATATACATGACAAGGTCGCACAATCCAGGCGTTGTAAGTGACGAGGCCCAAAGTACCTTGGCTGTATCTATGCTAGTCGGGGGCCCGAAAGTCATGATGCGAACGCGACCAAGTTTGGAGATTCCTGGGGCATCAACAAACTAGAGTCACGTGGTGATAAGAAGCCGGACTTACAGCTGGTCTTATCGTACTATCGCCGTTGCCCTCACTGTTTTCGGCCGGAACGAGTGGGACAAAGAAGTCTGCTGAAGGTTCACGAATTGATTTGGGTGATTATAAATCCTGGACTCCTTCGTCAATTCCTGTCAGCCGGTATGGAAGACAATGGTGTGTGAAAGTTGTTTGGACTTAGGGCAAGGCTACCGAGTACGTTAGACCTAAGGGACTCTTCGGACCGAAATAACTGCGCTACGGGCTAAAAGATACTCAACGGGTGGATGGGAATACTTCTTTGAGAAAGCATACGAGGAGGAAAGTGGAGCAGTAAACGGACGTAGAAGGAAAGATTTCCTCTGCGAGTCTAGTTTATGAGTAGTTCTAGATAGCAAATTAGCGATACTCATACTAGACCACTTCGACCATAAGCGTCCAGCTTGGGCCAACCATAAGCACTGTGGCAGACGCCGTCTGCACTGCAACCCTAAGCAAAAAGCAAAGGGAAAAAGCCTCGGGTCTGCCCGCCGCCGCGTCGACAAACTGACTTCATTGAGGAGAAAAGTGATTAATAATTCACCGGAGGATCCATCCCTAAAGCCCCTTTGAAGTTGGAACTCAAAACCGGGCAGGGCTCGTGGAAACCTACTCGTACCACAACCACAACCCCCAAAAGCAAGCCGATCTCGGCCACTGAAACGAGGATGACTCGGCTTCGATGTCATGACCCGGAAGGGCGGGCGGCGCTGTGGCGAGAGCCATGCAAGCAAGGCAGGAAGAACCGCACGACCGGGAGGGGAGGGATTTAGGGATCGGCGTAGTCAGGCATACGCAGTATACATAGTAGTTATTTGCCTACTAATCTGATCATTGAATTAGGAGTCTACAGGATGATGTAGAAGTCTTGATGAGAAAGAACGGGAGACAGATTGAATGGAAGACGAAAGACTGAAAGAAAGTCAAGCGGTTAGTCACTTGTATTAGTCGTTGGCCGCGGGCAACTCCCGGATTTCCACTGATAAGTAACTTACTCGTACCCACGAGTCTTAATAATCAAACCACCCACACCCCGCTGTAATCGAATTTACCCAGTGGCCAGTGCCCTTTTTCGGCCTCCCGCGCGTCCCACATTGGAATGAATTCAACCCGAACCCTCCACTGCACTGCACTGTACCCTCCTCCGCCCACCCATTTCGCTCTTTCACCTCTTCGATTCTATTCTTTCTCTCTTCCCCAGACCCCATCCACCCACCCATCGACACCCCATCGACAACCCAACTTCGACAACTAATCGCTTTCGAACACCGTCCAACGTCGTCGGCCCCATTTAGCGCTTGTGAGGCCCATCTCACTTCATCGGACTCGGCTTCTCACTATCATACCCGTCTTTGGTCTACTTCTATCCAACGTCGGATAACCCACGAAGTCCATCTTTTGCATGGCTCAGCCATAAAACGAACCCATTCTTGTCGCCTTGAATGACCTTCATTGCTTTCGCCGCCTGGTACATCCGAGACGCACAGAGGCCACGGCCCGCCTCAATCCAACATCATGTCTGAATTCAACGGCCGTCGGGCCCCGAACTTCTCCCAATACCTGGAAGATCTGAATGCCATCCCTTCGCCATATGATCAGGCTATGCAGCAGCAGCAGCAAGAATCCTACAACTTCGATGCCGATCTTTCGTTGTTTACCAATACCGAATTCTTTGACTTCGACCACTTTGGCGACATCAATCTGCCTGCTTTCGATGCGGTGGAGAAGACTACAGTGAAGAGGGAGACCGCGCAGGATGCCAACTCCGACATGGACTTCTTGAACCTTTTGGGAGGTGAGTAGAAAATCTTTGTTTCTTGTGGCCTCGTTTTCACCATGGAGTTGGACATATGATGCGACTGAATATCCTATCAAACTGGCCATGTGGAAAGAGTCATTTTGCATTGCCTTTCAGAAGCCTGAGCATTGAGCCAACTCATCATCTATGGATGTCGTTGTCCCCGCCCGCGCTAGCTCACGCTCTTGTTCTGCGTCCCATTTTCCCCTGCCCTCCCTCAGAAACATTTCTTGCCCCTCTAGGATCATACCACGAGCGCAGGTTTTATACCAGCTGCTTTGCCTAGATTAAGCACACCATTTGCACATGTCCTGATTGGCTTGCCACCTGCATGAGATCCTTTCGTCTGTGCGACGATCGCAAAACGTGCAGTAGTCTTGCCTATGGGACTCATAGCGCGAGCCGCACCCTCCATTGCGCAATACCACGTGACACCACATGGAAGGCTGCATCTGAAGGAAGCCTTAGGCTCTTGATTCGGAGCAGTCTTAGCGACTTGTCTGGCACCAGCGCTGCTGTTCTCCTCTTTTGCGTTTCTCCCTTGCGAGGCTGATAGTTGCAACTTTACCTGTACTCGTCACTAACTTCTGCTTCAAAGGCTTCGGCAATGTCAACGACATTCCATCCTCGAATGTGAATGCGGTCAACACCCAGGCTATGCCACCTCGGAACCAACAGTTTTCCGCTCTTCCGCCCTTGCCGAATGCGCCCTACAATGTGAACCCCGCTCCGAGTCAGGCGTCTTCGCAACATTCTCCGCAGTCATCATCATCGATGTCCCCTCCCGCTGCTACCGCTGTGCCTCCCGCTACCGCTTCCTCCAGCACGTCCACCGCGCCGAAGCGTAAGAACACTCAAAAGGCCCCACCTATGAGCGTCGAAGAGGTCGCCCGCATCGCGGCGGAGGAAGACAAGCGCCGGCGCAACACCGCCGCCAGCGCCCGCTTCCGTGTGAAGAAGAAGATGCGCGAGCAAGCTCTCGAGCAGACCGTCAAGGAGACCACGGAGAAGAACACCGCATTGGAGGCTCGCGTCACAGCCCTGGAGTTGGAGAACCAGTGGTTGAAGAACCTCATTACAGAGAAGAATGGGCAGACCTCAGAAGAGGCTAGAAACTCGGAGAACGAGATTGCCGTCATGTTCCAGAAGTTCCTCGCCTCACAGCAGAAGGACAGCGAACGGAGTAATTCCGACTCCAAGATTGGCGTAGGCACTGCCTAGTATTGATTCTCTTGTCTATTCTTCCATTCGCGTGAGAGCATGCCTTGTCTTGTCTTATCCTGATTCCTTCGTCCTTCCCCACTTCTTTTCCTGTAGATGTCTAGATCCATGCAAGGGATCTCCACTCACGCTCGTCCCCCTGCTCATCCTTTTGCTTGCGATGCTCTATGTTAATACTGTTTGGTGCGCGCTGTGAACAGTGTTTGGCGTACGCGGAGCCTGTTTATGATGGAGGTTGTTTACTGAGGCGGTGGGGAGGCCAACGGTGCTATTTCAGTTGAAGGTCAGGTCAGACACCTGCAGTACAGAATCCCAACTGGCTTAGCTCATTGTGATTTGTCCCCTTCTATAAAAGTATATGATAATGAATGATACCAAAGCAATGTTATCTCAGTTTACCTTTCAGAAGTACCCTGCCCATCAACATTCACTAGTAGCCACTGGCCCCTGTTTTTGAAGATCGGATAGCGCTCATGCCGCTGGAGGGCGGACGGTCCTATTCCTTTCGGCCGATCTACGCGTACAGAACGGTTGGGTGGGTGTGGGTGTAAGTATGGATCGGATTCTCCACCGATCCACGAAGAGGCACGAAGTTCATTCTTTACATGTCTCCACGAACAACAGCAATGACCCCCCAAATCAGTCTAGAACTCCCCCCATAACCCTAAGCGCCGCTTGAAACATGAAATACAAGTAAAATGAAAGGTTGTCGGCGGACCCCAAGTTATAATTCCCGAACACCTCGAGGGAACAACAATAGCCCCGCTCCTTTCCCCCCTTCGCATATCAGACATTATGTGGTGCGGCTGCAATCAAAAAAAGTGTTGGGCACGGAAAAGGTAAACAACAAAGAAAAGGAAAACTGTGGAAATAGAATAGAGCGAAGCCGTGGGAATCAATATGTCACTGTCATGGAGTCTTTTATCTGGCGCTGCGTAACTTCGTTGCGATAACCTGGTGAGTGGAAGATAGAAGGAAAGGGCAGGTGAGGTTAAATGGCGGTCAGAGAACCATGGCCATGTCATGGACGGTGCGAGGAAGTTTTCTATTCTTCAAGCAGCAACCCATCAATCTACTGCCCAGACCTTCTGGTTGTGGACTCTGCCATGACCTCCTCACTTTCACCTGCTTTCCGCCCAGGAATCTTCTCTTCGTCGCTTTCATCGCCGTTGATTTCACCCCATCCTGAGCTGCGACGACTGATGCGCCCCGTTACGGCCGCTTGCTGCTGCTGGGATGGCCCTGACCACGCATTCCCGGCCCCAGCGCCGGTAACGCTGGTTGCGTTACTATCGTGACGGCTATGCGAATGAGGCACACTCATAGTACTCGCGGCATCGCCGGCCGTGGTGGCGGCCTTGTGGAAATTGCCGCGCTCACCAGCCAACGGGGTAGCGCTTGACGCCGAATAAACGCTGGCGCGCTCTACGCTGGCAAGACCGACCAAGCTAGGTCGATTAAGAACGCCTGGAGGATTGAGCGAGGAGGTATTGGAAGGCTGCTCTCCTATGGTACCGCTGAGAACACTCAGAGGCAAACTCTCCCGACTACCACCAAAGACTGAGGACGGGGCCAAGGCGCGCACCGAGGCGTTGGTATCTAGGGAGTTACGACGCCGTCGCTTGGAGGAAGACGCTAATGTTAGGATGGATGCATTGTCGGTGAGAAGATTGTTGGCCGTCGCGGAGCTGTACGTAACTGAGTGACCGTGAGGCGTAAGGTGGGGCGGGACTGCCGTGGCCGGCGAGGAGGGGAATTGATGAGAGAATTGAACCTGCTGCGTCGCATGATTCTGCAAGGAGTTGTTGTGAGCAAGGCCATGGTGGTGATTCTGAGTATTGTAGAGGTGGCCCGATGGCGCTGCCGATTGCACGGTGGTCAAGGTGGTGGTTAGAGACCGGACGGATGGCGCAGGGGATGAAAAGGTGCTTCCTTCGCCCCCACCGTGTGAACTGATCCCTCCTCCGGCTGTGACCATTGTACCTGCCTTCGAATAAGCTGCGTCCGATATGGCTGTGTCACCGTTTGTGGAGATGGTCGGTGCCATAGATTTAGCACTGGTGGCGGGAACCTGGTGCTCGTAACAGGAGTATGTGATAGAGGGCTCGCTTCGAGAGCAGGATTGCCCATCGGTTTCGGCGCTAAAATCCGATGCAGTAGCATCGCTGATGTTGTCACCACAGGGATTTGCAGCGGTGCTGTCTCCAGAAAGTGGGTAGGGGTTGTTATTCGAATTGCGGTTCTTTTGTTTCGGCGTCGCATGGCGTTTGTGAGACCAACGGTTGGAACCCGAATCGGTCGAATGTTTCAAACTAGCAAGTCGCTTCATCCAACTGGAAAAGGGATGACGGCGTCCATTGCGATCTTTCCCAGCATCATGCGTTAGACAGTTGGAGGAGAAACAAAACACTGGGGAATTGCTTTGCGCACCATGTGCCCTGGCGGGTCCCTCTGTTGTGGCCATGGTTCGGGCCTCCCAGAGGATAGACTGGATCTCTTGTCAAAGGTCGTCGTACGGAAATATACTGAGACTATCGAATGGCTTATTTGAGCGGTTAAGAGACGCTGAGATGGAGTTGCTGGTGATCGATCAATCAAAGGAACGCGGCAGAACGAGTGATTGAGCCCGGGAGGGGGGGTGGAGGGGGTGGAAGAGGGAAGGGCGATTTAATGAATGAGCTGGGAGTGGAGAAGGTGGAGCGATCGTAGGCGGAACGCCCCGATCAGGTGAAGGCGCTTTGAATGAACACGATGAGAAATGTCTGAACAAGAAGAGGTAGCAACAGAGAAGTTCAACTGAGCATTCATTGTTGATGAAGGCAAGTCAGGAGTTCCTCAGACCGAGCACGTGATACTGGCCGTCAGCCCAAAGCAGACAGTCTGAGTGCTTACTATGGACTATGTACTAACTTACTCGGTACTAGGCTTATCGACTGTTATCACCACGTGATTGATAGGCAACATCACATCATCCTGCCGCCGCTTCCAACACCATTGACACTACCATACCCTCAGACTTCCTTTCTCTTTCCCTTTACCTCTCTTCTATTCAACTTTGTGCTCAACAAGTCCAGATGACTCCAGCCCTGGTTGCTTTGGATTAGAACGGTGCACATCTACATCTTCGCTTTCCAGATGAGTGCTCAGTATCTTCTAGAAAGGCCTCGCTGCTCAAAGCAAGCGCGACGAGCTATGTGACCCGGGAAACATGCTGGTTGTTTACTTACCTACTCGCCGCGATGCAAACCGATGACCCGAGAATCCAACCCTTGCCACCATCTGTAGTGGCCAAATTGAGATCGTCGACGACGATTACGACTCTAAAGGGGGTGATTCTTGACTTGGTCAAGAATGCCTTGGATGCAAATGCGCGAACAGTATATATCACGGTCGATGCCCTGCGCGGAGGCTGCATAGTGGAGGACGATGGAGATGGCATACCACCATTTGAATTTCATCCAAGTGGTGGCTTAGGCAAAACCCACCGTACGTTAGGCCGTCGTCCTTGAAGTCTCTTGATGCTTACCCCAAGTATAGATACCTCCCGGCTTGGCCCAGAGCGAGACGTCTACGGTCACAGAGGGTCATTCTTAGCCTCATTATCGGCTCTGTCAATGTTAACCATAACATCCCGCCATTTTCGGCATACAAGCACAAACACTCTAGTATTCCATCATGCGACCCCAGTCGTTCGACTGACTCCAGCCCCGAGTCATCAGGGACTAAGATTCAGCAGTCACGGCACTAGTATAACAGTGAACGATTTGTTCGGCAACCTGCCAGTGCGAGTAAGGAGTCGTGCATTAGCTCTGCAGAAGCCTGAAGAGGTGGAAAGACAATGGGATGACCTCAGGCAGCTGCTTGTGCCCTTAATGCTAGCAAACAATCAACTAATCAAACTTGTGGTCATGGACGCTAGTGGAGAGAAGAAGCTCTCTTTAAGCCCGAAGACTCCAAGCCACGATGCAGAGTCAGCGTTGGATCTTCAGCGCATCAGCACTATTCTGTATCAGGCTGGTCTGGTGGAAGCTCGACATCCCGAGCACTGGGATGTCGTGTCGGCCAGTGTACCTGGCTTCCAAATCCAGGCCGCTATATCGCGCATTCCCAGCACCACGAAGAAGGTCCAGTTTCTCTCTCTGGGAATAACTCCCATGCTACCACAAAGCACTGCGAACATCTTCTATACCGAAATTAACCGTTTATTTGCCTTGTCCGACTTCGATACTGCCAAATCTTCAGCGTCTCTGCGAGCCAAAGATGAGGTACTCGGGAGTGGTTATGAGACACTGATGAAGGCTCCCCCCAAGGAGTGCACCAAGAGGCCCATGTTCTACATGCGGATCACCGCTGAAGACTGCACCAGTCTCGACTACGATGCTCAAGGTGCTCCCGAGGCAGTTCAATATGTCCAGCGCATCTTAGACGTCCTTGGAGCCATGCTTAACGAGTACCTTGGTCAACAAGGTCTACGGCCGCGTGCAAGGAGGAAGAGAAAGATGTCGCCGGAGAAGGGCTCGAGAACCTCGGTTCCTGAAGCTCATCGCTCAGATACAGCTTACAGCACCGAAGAACCTTCGAACCGTCATATAAAGGTACCTGATCTTCCACGACCGCTGACCGTCAGTTATCACTTCGGAAACTGGACCAGAGTCAAGAGTGCCAGCATTATCTCAAAAGATATGAGTGCAATTGGGCGAGACCTTAAGCCCAACGCCCCTCTTCATCGCACTTATTTGCAAAAGCCAGCAATGCCATCCGAAGCAGCTCCTAATGACACGATTATTGTGCAAAGCTCTGAAAAACGAAGCCACGATGAGGCTTTTGGTGAGAACAACTCAGGCGATGGACACTTCGACTCGATTACCTCCTGGATTGACCCTTATACGGGACGAAGCCATATGGTTAATCCCCGAACCGGCCAATCCATTGGTGCCGGCTCTCCAGCCATTTCCCTGAGGTCCCGATCCACCGGGTCTTTATGGACGAAGCGAGGTTTAGAAGACAAAGATCGGCCCAAGTCGGCTGCCATACAACCCGCCCGAAAGGCATGGGTCGAGAATCTTTTGGAAGATTGGAAACCCCCGGTTTTTGGCCGACCCGAAAAGGCCATCAACATTTTTGATATAGATGCGAGTCATCGGACAGCCACTCCCAGCAACCTCTTTCGTCCAGACACCCTTGGGGTGTCTAAGTATCGTGGTAAACTTCGGAAGCACGACCTCAGGAAGTCCCAAATTATCGCGCAAGTTGACAGGAAATTCATCCTTGCCGCGATTGGTCCATCTGCATCCAACCCCAATAAAACCCTAGTCTTAATCGATCAACATGCTGCTGATGAGCGCTGTCGCGTTGAGGCTCTTCTGGCATCCTTCCTCCCGACCGAGCCGACCGACACCCCTCCATCCGTTCGACTCGACAATGCGATCGTGATTGAAATCCCCCCGGCGGACACCTCGGTGTTCAAAAGATACCGACAATTTTACAGTCAGTGGGGGGTCGAGTACTCGATCGAACAGCGACCCCGAGATACGAAGGCATTCGTCTTCGTGCATGCACTTCCCGCGCTCATTGCAGAGAGGTGTCGAACGGAGCCGGAGCTAGTCACACAGCTGGTCCGTGGGGAAATCTGGCACCGGGAGGAGAGAGGTGGCCTGGGTCTTTCCAAAGGCCTGAGTCGGAGTGAATCCCGGCCCAGTACTCGGCAAAGCACTCACGATGGCGCGACCGCGAGCGACAGCGGCTGGTTCGGCCGGCTGGACACTTGTCCCCGGGGGATCATCGATCTGCTGAACTCGCGTGCGTGCCGCACGGCAATCATGTTCAACGATGTTTTGACCGTAGAAGAGTGCCGGGGCCTGGTGTCCCGGTTGGCAGGCTGTACGTTTCCATTCCAGTGCGCGCATGGACGGCCATCCATAATCCCCATCTTGGACATTGATGCCTCCGCTCCAAATGGCCTGGGAGGCGACCTGGACCGGGGTCAAACGGACGAATATGCTTGCAATGAGACTTCCAACGGTGCCGGGTTTGCTGAGGCGTATCGAAGGTGGCAGGGTCTTGTATAATACCGATACTTCCTTCCACAAAAGGCACCGACTATACTCATAGCTATATACACCACCTACATTTACCGCCTGAGGAAGAAAAGAAAAAATAAAAGCGATTATAATCACAAGTGATTATTCATTAGCACGGGACCAGGTTGCATTAGCCGGAAGCCCCCAAATATGTACAGGATAAGTGATACAGTTTCGTCCTCCCATGTGCCAGCCAGACCCGTCCAGAAAATCCCAAAAATCATCCCAATAAGTACCCAAAGTTTTTTCCATGCGAATGCCCAATTCCAGTATCCAAAATCCACACCTGATTAGACCGTACATTTCCAATGCGATGCGACCGAGACCGGATGCTGAACCAAATTTAACTCGTAAATATAGAGCAGAAAATGAAGACAAAGAGAAAAATATAAAGTAAAGTGGCACACCGATAATAACACAGCCCGTCATTACCAGGGAGGTGGCAATGCTCCGATGCAGCCAATCAAACGTGATGAAAAGAAAGTAAGTAGTCAGTCGAGGAAATGTTCACTTCGTCTGAATCGCGAGGTAGCTTGCTTGTATAAAATGGTCCGAATAAAATGGGTATTGTTGTTTTGTATGTGCCAATCCATGTACAGTGAAGGATTGCACTGTGTGATATACTGCATTGTCTCTTTTTCGTAGGAGACTCCCCTCACCCCGCCAGCTTGATAGGTGAATTACAGGGGCAGCTCCGCAGTGTTGACAATATGGAATCATGAGGTATCCACAATAAAATGTGCGAGGATAATAACAAGATCGAAAATGTGAAGAATCAAAGGGAGTATAGTGCGAAGTCCGTGTCGGCATGAATTGAATTGAAATGATTCGTCAATCGTAACTGGCCGTCCCAATGGCTCAGGTTGTCCTGATTCAGCCATTTGTTGCTACCGACTTGGTTTTTGAGGGGTGGCTCCAGGACAGGAATTCGAATTTGTCCTTGGCATTCTCGAGGATCGAGGAGGAACTGGACTCCGTCTGCAATGTACGCTGCTGCTGAGGCGCTTCGCGGGGCTCGAGGATGAGCGACCGGCGATAGAACGTCTGTAAACTCTTTTCGCCGTTGGAACGAACCCGGACCAGCTCGTTTTGCATCCATGCCTGCAGCTCTGGCACTTCCGCAAGACGGTATGGAATCTGGAAGCGCTGCAGTTCACTGATGATCTTCGCCGTCTTCATGTGTTTATCAAAGTTAATCACGGCCATCTCTCCATCGTCCGTAAGTAGGGAGCGGAGCGGCTGGTTGCCGTGGTCGACAAACGTCAAGTCTGTCAAATAGGTGCCGACAAACGGCAAGCATGGTGGCACATGGTTTTGGAGACGCTGACGAAGAACCGCGTAGTTTCGCGAGACGTCGACGATTCCACGAAGAGACTCGAGAGTAGTCTTCGTCTTCTGGGACACAGCCTCCCATGTCCGCTTGAGACGCGAAATCATGGACGAGTTCAAAGAGCAAATGATGGCCATCAATGAGTCGTAGTTATTCAACTCCAAACACTTGTTGGCGATCTTAACCCAGTGCTTGATGATAACGGCACGCTTCTTCGGTTCCTCAAGCTGGAGTATCGAGTCTGCCACAAGGTGCGCCAAATCTGTTGATAAGGTCGACATAGCACGGACATTGACCGCCAGCGAGGCGGACTTTTTCATCCACTCAGTCGCAAGCAACTCCTCGGGTAGTATGGCGCAGAAGATTCGCGATTCCTTGATGGTGAATTGGCGGGCCAATTCTAGAGGGTCGAAATCAAGAATTGTGATATTGCTTTCCCCACTCTTCCACTGCTTCAGTAGCGCCACCTCCTTCTTGCCTAGGATGGGCGGTGGAAGCGGGGTATCTGGATGAATGTATTGTGCAGTCGCAGTATTTGTTTTTCCCATGGAGGAAACCAGACGCGGCACGACCGGGCCATGCACCATGGAGACCTTCTCCGCAAGTTCCAGGAGGCGCTTGCTGGCAGTAGGTAGGTTGTATCTAAGATTTGTATTGGCAAACCCGGTAATGTAGTCGAGTGCGGCATTGTCGCAGTCATGTCGCCAGTGCGACTCGAGCCAACCCTTGAAAACGTTGTATACACGAAGACGAACAGGACCTGCGGCGTGAGGTGTATCACCAATGTAGTTAAACCGATCCACTAAAGTTTCGGCGAATTCCAAAGGCGTCGCGAACAAGCGGAAAGTTAGGTAGAAGGTCGAAACAAACATGGCGTCCGGGGTTGACTGATGGGCTGTAAGTCTTTCGACCAGGGCACGAAGGCTGCCACCCATAACCTGACCATCTTTAAAGATCAGCTCGTGGGCGTAGGTTCGCTCAAGAACGTTGGCCTCGGTCTCTTCATGCTCTTCGGCCAGCGTGGAATGGCTCAAGCTGCCTCGCAAGCACGGAGTCTGGTAGCTATTTCCGATATCTGGCGACGTAGCTCGTGTCGAGGTTTGTGAAACCCCGCTCATTTCTGAATCACGAAGACGGCTGTTGAACGTGAAGCTGCTTCCATTGCTTGTTACCCCACGGCCAAAAGATTCACTCGGCTCAGACTTGAGCTGACTGTTCCGGTACTCGAATGGTTGCGTGTCATGAGAAGAGAATGAGAGTTTGTCCAAGCTCGACGAAAGAATATTTGTGGACTGGAATGAGACGTCGGTGCTAGCGGCGGCCGGAGTGATTGCTCCACCACGCGATTGGAAAGAAGAGGGGGTGCTGTCATCGGTCAGTTCTGGTGGAGAGGAGGAGTAAGCAGCATCGGTCGAGTTGGGGATCTGCAGAGGAGGAGGGGGCAATCGAAGCGAGACATCCTGTGGGCGGGATGAGTCGCTGTCGAAAATGCCAGGCTGCGGGGGCTGCGGAGTCAGATTCAGGTCTGGCAGCATTATCGCCGCAGGGGCCGTATCTTGCGGCATGGCCTCGAGCTCAAAGTCGCCACACTCCTCTAGCATCAAGCGCGCTTTGGCCAGACAGTTCCCCGCTGCGCGGACACAGTCCGTGGCAGCATCCACCAAGCGCTTCCCCTCATCGGGCAAAAAAACTAGTTCGTCGTCGGGGGAGTGAGCTGGGCGGAAGGCGTCCCGCGCAGCGTACACTAATTCAGATAGTCGCTCGTACATAGCGTCTCTGGCCTGCTCCAGCAACCCACTGCCCTGTGGGTCATGCTCACAAGCGGCCTCAATGACGGTTAGTAAAGCCCGGCAGGAGCGCACGGACTGCTCCGTGGTCACCACTAGTTCCGTCGACGACCGAGACTGCAGATGTAAGCCAATGAACGAGCCCAACACGCCAAGAAAGGCATCGTATGACGAGTTCAGTCGCTCCGACGCTAGGTTGAGATTCCGGGCCGCGGCAGCGGGTCCCGAGTACGATACTCGGTGGGATATGGAGATTCGTTTGGTGGCCACCGAAACAGACCGTGCCGGCTGCGCATCGTCCATGTGGGTGGATGCTCGACTCAAATCTAGTCGGCTGCGGTTGAGCAGTCTGGACTCATTCCGCTCCGTCTCCCCCTCTGCCTCTGATTGGGCATTTTCCGCTACTGGCTGCGTCCCGGTGGTCGTCCGAGGCGAAAGGTCGTAGCGTGTTGATTGTTGCTCCAATTCGGCGATCGTCCTACTCAATCCAACTTCCTCATTCCATACGTCGAGGAAACGAACGCCACGAGTCACAATTCGAAATGCCTTGAGCAGCATCTCATCCACCAGGTAGTCGATATCATCCTGCATCGTGTTTTTGGTCGCAACTTCTTGGAACTTCTTGGTTGTTCGGACCAGAGACGATAGATCTGCCAGCAACCCTTTGCGGTTCTTGCGCAACCCGTCATGGTTAGTGACCAGCATGCAGTCGCGGGTTAGGCACTCAGATTTTTGCTTGAGCAATGTCAGCCATAAGGAGACACTTGATTTTCATGGCAGAAACCTACCAAGAGATAGCGAACCCCGGCAATCAAGCCTCGCACAAGGTCCTGATTACCGGTTTCATTCACGGCAAGCCGGCACCCGCCTCGGATAATATCCCAGAAGTCAGTCAATGCTTTGAGCAGCGGGCGCATTTGTTGTTGATCATATGCTTCACAATAATTCGTGGGTAACCAGCCCCTGGCGCCTGTATCTAGCAGGGTGCCATCGGCCCAGCCATTGGTGTGAACGGAGTGAACAAGGATAATGTCGCCCTGATCTAGCGGGAGGGTGACAGTTGACGGGGACACGTTGCCCGACGGGTGGTAAGGGTAGAACGCGCGAAGATAATTATGAAAGACATTCCTGGTTTTTTCCGAGCTGTCGTCTCCCCCACTGTAAGGCGTCAAAGGAGGACTCATCTCGAGGCGATGTTGAGCCGAATAGGAGCGGTTCATGTGAAAGTTCGAATGCCCCTTTTCGATTTTTAGGGGGGCAATATGTCGTTTTGGTGATTCTAGAGGATCCATTCTCATTGTGGTACGCTTTGCAGCGAGTGTCCGATGCCCCTTCGATTTTGAGTGTAGGCTTGGCCAGACGCAGGCGCACAGGTCACTGCCCAACTCTTAAGCGAATGAAGAACTGGAGAGCATTTCCAGCTAGATCGTAGTAAAGTGCAGTGCGAAGAGTTGGTCAAACGTTGAATTCAAGCAGAGATCATACCAGCTGATCAAACCAGGCGGGAGATCTCGGAAGATTAACTGGTCGGGGTTACGACAATCGTGATAGATACCTGTCGAAGGGGTTAGTCAGACAGCACAGGGTGCGAGCCTTTCACCCACGTCAGTAGTGACGGCGTGCTTTTCTTGGTAAAGGGCTGGCAGGAGTGTTTGGGAGGATGTTTGGGAGGGAATGGATGGTTCTGCATATCTCCCGGAGAATGCCCTAATCCTGGGAAGAAGCCTGGTAGGAATGCTGGGGAAGGGCAACCGGTTGCTAACGCACCTACGACGCGATCTCGAAGAACGAAGGACCTGATGAAAGGAGCGTGACTGTGGAAGTACAATGAAGACAGGTGGTTCGCAGGGAGAGTTGATGGAGTGTCAGTAGTAAAAAGACACGTTCCTTGATGCCGGATCAGAAACGAGGAGCGAGGTTGCGCACGAGGGCGGGGAGATTGCAGTGCTTTTGAAAGTAGGGACAATAAACAATCGATCCCAAAGGGCACGGTAGGGCGAACAACAGCCACGGGCTCTGCAGGCCTCGATTGACGAAGTCAATTTCTTGTCGCAGGGACCAGCGTGCAACGAGGGTCGCGGTGGAGGGTTTCAAACGCAAGGACCACGATGCGACCCCAAAAAGGACAAGGCAAGCTGAGCAAGACCTTCCGGGTGGGTGTGAGCGAGAGCACGGTCCGGACAACGAATGCGAGGTTGATCGACGCAGATTGCAGTGACAATGACGACAGAGCGCGAGCGCGATTGTTTGAGGCGGGTTGGTTGAGGAGACACGCAAGGGCCGTGTCGAATCTAAGACAGGACAGAGCCAGTAGCACCACTGAAAGAGCCGAAATGAATGCAATGCAGACCGTAATGCCCGAAGAAGTAGATTTGGTAACGAGTTTTCAAATTGCCACCAGCAGCAATGAATGAATGATCGCAATCTCCACGGCAGTGGGTGGTCGCAAAGGACTGTAAGATATTTATGCAATGCGGCACAACTTAGGAGTAAAAGTGGTATAGTAATACAGAAGTAAGCTGCGATCTGTACGGAAGAGGGAGCGAAAGGGAAAGGAAGGTCGATAACGCAGGAGCAGAGAGAGGGAGTAAGTAGGAGTGAGAGGAAGAAGAAGAGTTGTGTGTGTGTGTTTGAATGTGTATGTGGAGGAGTGAGCGTTGTAAAAATGATAATATGAGAGGGGGGGGGGGGGGGGGTTTGGTGTTTAAAAAAAAAAAAAAAAAAAAAAAAAAGTTGAAAAGAGTTTCCAGGTTAGAAGGAGGGAGGAGCCCAAAGTGGTAATTGAGGAGGGGGAGTGGGAGGCAAAGCACCGGGCCAGGAGTTCTCCAGACTCCAAACTAGATCACAGTAGTGTAGTCATTTGTCAATGTCCTACAATTTAGTATTGAATTTTTTGAATTTTTTTTTTTTTTAGTTAGCTCAGAGGTTTAGTTGACGAGGTGACGGGGTCTAGAGAGTTCTAGGAAGGCGAGTGGTGGCCCCAAAGGTGGTTTATTCAGTCTCCACAGAACCGGTGGATAATCCAGCAGCACATCCCTGACTCAATCGAGACGTGGAGCAGGCGATCGGTTCCCCGTATGTTGGTTCTTTTGGATAAAAGGACAAGAAATTGGAGTTACGCGATCAAGAGACAATAGAAAGAAAGAGGATGTATGTGTAGAGAAGGTTACTACACAATCGGGCCCTCTATTTAGAGCAGCACGTAGGAACTTAAGGACTCTGTAGTCTGTAGTCCGTCTGTAGGTAACGTAGTGGTAAGGCAAAAAAGGAAGGATGAAGGATTGTGATAAGGATGAACCGTTCCGGCCTGTCAAAACCATTACTGTTAATATATTTCTCTCCCTATGGCCTTGTCACATTGCGCAACACGTCTCTCGACAGTCCTTCCCGTGTACTTTCTCCGGCTCGAGTCTAGAGCATGCCCTTTTTTCTTTTTACTTGTCTATTGTCTTCTTGTTCTTTGATTTATTCATCTCTGTTGCTCCACCTCCTCTTCCCTGTCAAGTTTGATTCCCAAAGATTAGTTGTCTCCGATGGTACTGTACTCCCCAATTTCAGGGGATCCTTTTTTGAATTTTCTTATTCTGGGTTGATCTGCTCTCTTGGCCACCAAATGCAGCTAACCTTTCGAGTCCCGCCCAAACGGTTAGGATCTGCCCGCAGCAGCAGCAGCCCAGGCAGCTCTCCATCCCAGCACCAACCCTGATATCATGAGGTGCCTCTTATTGGTTTCAAACTGGGCGTAATGGGTTCAGGGCACATACGGAATTCGATCCCGATGCTGGTGCTGGATGAATTATTGCCCAAGATACTTGGTAAACCTCGATAATGTGCACATTCAGCTGCAGCGAGTCTTCCTAAGCGGAATATGTGCTGCTTAGCTCCAAGGTACTGTAGACAAGCTCCCGGTGCAGTGCTCAAGTGGTTGATCCATAACAATGCATTTCCCTCGACTATGAGAAACGGTCGCCATCTAAGACACGACAGTTAATACTCCCGACTTTGTGAGGAGGTAATAGTACTCATTGAACTTACGGAGTATAGCCTAGCAACTGTGACGGTGCCAGATAGAAGATTAACCCTAGAGCAAAAAAAAACCAAAGAAAAAAAAAGATCAGAAGGCGAATACATCTATACTAAAATAAGAATAACCTCGGGCCCTTTTTCTAGCCACTCAGCAAACAGAATCCAAATTAATATTAATATCAGCATTTAATGACTCCCTTTTCCTGGACGCAGGATGCAGTCAGCTAAACCGGTTTTGCGTCGTCCCACCGAGGAAGTGTGTGAGAGTGTGAGATGACCTGCATGGATGCGACAGGGGGTCCGAGTGGTGGTGGTGGTGGTGGTGGTACTTTTGGGAAAAGGAGTGGAGAACTGGAAGCAGCCTGTGACGGCCCAGCATTATTATTTGAGCCAGGCACCTTTTTTGTTTTCTGGCTTGGTTTTTTCTCGGTCTCTCTCGGTCTCTCCCTTCCTTCCCCCTTCTCTGTCTACCTCTGCGACTGACTTGATAAACTCTTAGACTCAAGAAATTGAGTCGCCCAACTAATGCTCATGTTCATATTTAATCTTGAAAATCTTAACTGGTAAGTCTCCCAGAAGCCCCAGGCCACAAAAATCTCCATGGTGGCAAAGCTAACTTACAGTGTCCGTCGTAGTAGGGCGATTCCCCCTCACAATATATTTTACTCCTTTACTTCCCGTAGGACTGATCTCTAGCACGGTACTCCCGGGCGATCTCTCTTGAATCGCCTCAGCTCATTTCAGCGAACCAAAAGCCAGATACTATCCAGAGGGCAAAATTGAAAATGAATCATATTTATGAGTATCCAGATAGTATGAGTAGGCACAGTACTGCACAGCACCTGAGGTATAACGCCCGAGTCCCAATCATCAATAAAGCCAAAAATTGGGGTCTTGGTTCCAAGAGAGCGTGCGCGCGATCGGCAATGACAGTTTCCATGCCATTGGAACCCACACCCCCCATTCCCAAGGGTACAAGTACACACTGATCTGATCACGATATTCCGGTACATGTACTCCCGTAAATGGTTGTTGATGATCGTCTGCCAAACCGTATGCCCGTCCCATATCCCCCCACCCATGGTAGGCAATTCAAACTCCGGGCAGTCCCTCAATCGGGTCGTACTTCTCGCCTGGAGGGGCTGATGTGTTGCGCCGTGAGCAAAAAAATTCTCCGTAGCCTTTGCTCGAGTACCTGTTCTCCTGGTGGCGGTAATTTGTTCTTTGTTCATTGTGGTCCACGACTAAGACATGTGATCCAGTGGGCATACAGCTCGATGGCATTCTCAATGTTTGGACTAGTGATTGATATATCTGACAGTTTGACCGCATGGCACACGATTTTCACTAGTACTTGACAAGCCCATTCATGGAAAGCATGCAACTTTAACTAGATCCCACTCCGGTCTTCTGCCGAGCAAACACTGCGCACAGTATACTGGAGGATTGCTCTACTATCGATGTTGGACAATCAGGTGGATGGAAAGATGGAAGAATAATTACGACTGCAAGTTCTGGGAATGGGGAAGTACTGTGTACATACAGCACCCCGTCCGAATAGATAGATTGACAACGCCACTCGGGCATCTAATGACAGGTCGGATGTCACCGATTAAAGAAGGGAAGGGAGGGGAAGGATACATCTTGACCCACCATAGCTGAACCCCCAAGGACGCGGCAAATGTACGTACTGTACTGCACATCGTAGTACTTCTGTCGTTTCACACATATTCTGTTGCTAGACATGGGACTAGATGACTCAATTGAGCAAAGACCGAGCTATCGCGAGGATAATAACAAAGGAAGTTGTTTGTTGCTCCGCTCTATATCAGACCAGTCAACGTCAAGCGTAAGCGTGTCCAATGAACGACCATGTGTTCTCCCGTACCTGCATAGGATCCATGTCTAGGGTGCAGCTCGCGACCAAGCCCCATGGACAGTAACTTACTTCGTACCACCCTGATGTCCCAGCAGCAAAGCTCACTCTCCAACCGATCGCACCACATCCAGCCCATTTGTCAGTTACTCCATCCGGGAATTTGTACTGGACTGTACCGGTACTCAGGTCCGATGCTTTGGTTCGTATTCACTCGTACTCTGACACCTCCCCTCCCCCCGGATCGTCGAGGGCCATGGGTAATCGGCAATGCAAGGGCAACGGCCTGCTCAAATATCAGATAGCCTTTGACGGTTGTGCGCTGCGATATATGGAGTACCGCACTCGTCGCCGATCTAGCCTTATATAGTACACTTACCGCGGGTTGGCGATCTCAAGTCCTCTTCCTGTCAAGATCACAACAGGGCTGAAGGAAGTCACTCGAACTGGGAAACCTCAAGGTGGAGGTTGGGACATCGATCCGGCTCACTCTCACTGAGTTCAAAAAATAGACGGTATTGCTCAATTATGCATCGAAGCCGATCTCGGTGGCGTGATTCGAATATGGATAGTGTTGAACTCTAATGCCATGCGGAACAGCGCCGCCTCCGTGGTCGGCCCGGCAATCATTTGGAGAAGCTCGCCGGTGCGTGACTGACAGCTGACATCCTACGTAGCTGAAACTACTAGGTAGGTGCTAGAGGTGTTGGAGGTAAGCATTGCCCGTTCTTCTTGGTATAGACGCCATTCACTCCTTTGGTCGCATTTTTCCACCTAAGTATGACACTTGTGGACTCGGGTCCCGGGTCTGATCACCACAATCCACTCAAAAGATAGGATTGCGGAGAAGTCGATCAATTCCCAGACACTTCAGATTCTTTTTCGGACCTTGCGTCGACGGGAGAGGCTCTACGTAATACCATATGGGGTAAGCTCCACAGAGTTCATGGTGATTTCCAGGTTGCCCACGCAAGCAAAAGAATAGTCGTCCCCGTGCTGATAAGGTTCGTTCTGGTAAGGGACGGACAGTCCGACGGCATATCAAACCTTACCACTAACTATCCCGTATTCCATTCAAAATGTGACAGGTCGCAGCTTTCACCACCCGGATGGGATGGCATCGACGGGGCTGTGATAAGTGAAGGTAGCGCGGGTTGATAGTGCGTGTCAAAGCGTCATTTTGTGCTTTCGCGAGTAAGCGATGTCGAAGAGAGCCTTGGAGAATGGATGACATCCCACTGTTGCTCCATTTGCGTCAGGTTCAGACCCAAGTAGTGCCAGGGCTAAGACTAAGATGACCAAAGATGCCGCTAAAGGATGATCTATACTCCAAGAGGAACGCACCAATGAGTTTAGTGTCAGTAGATCACAATCCTCCAGGACCAGACAAAGAGCTGCCCATCCTCCACACAAGAAAGACAAGCCGGTCGGAATTGTGGTTCGAAATGAGCCTAGGAACAACACGTGCTCGTCGTTGCATGCGGGACTAACGACGAGAGGCCTAAAAGCGATTGGGCCAGAGGCCAACGGTGAGGGTCAGTGCTGTCTAGGATCCAGAGTGACCCCTGATCACTATCAACCGTTGACCAGAGCCTTGCACTTGAATATGCTGCCATAATATTGCCAGATACTAGGATCAAGATGACTGACTGCAAAGAGACTTCCTGTAGTCAATTCTATCGGCAGTTTGAGGGCCAATGTCGATCTTGGGTTCTGAAACAGAGTCAGGAGGGTGGTGGAGTGCGGTCATGGGAAGGCTAGAACCTTCCACAATCCAGGCCGCTGCGACTGAAGCAGCATAGACCAAAGATTAATACTAAACATCAACGGCGTCACCCTGGGCAGAGACTTCGCAGCCTAATGGTTCGTCAGCTTCCGCTTATCCTCCGTCATTCGTGCTCACTCTCAGAGACGGGATGTGCTGTCAAGCGAATTACCGAGACAAGTGCGTCCCCCACCGCGGAAGCTGTACGGAGTACTCTACCACACTAAGCGTAGCGACACGGGACGGCGCGACACTGGCGTAAGTGCTTCTCTTTGATCTCTTCAGCCTGGCCAAATTAGAACAATCAATGAACGGAGGCGGACTCGGAATGAAAGACTAGGAAGATAGGAGACACAGGCGGTGTGTAGCCCGCGGGTCATCGATGGAACACAAGACACCGCCTGTCTTTGTGCTGCTGCCGCTGCTGCTGCCGCTGTTGCTGCTGCTGCATTATTCCGTTGAGACGCTGCCTTGTCTGACTAAAGGCAAGCAGGGAAGGAGGTACGCGACGATACTTTGGTTAGAAGAGACAGATAGGGGTAGGTGGAAGGGGAAGGAGAGTCCGACTCAGGGGTTCAAGAGCAATCCCCACTCATAGTAGTTGTGAAAGTGAAAAGTGAAAACATCCATCCCTAAGTTACTCCACAGTCCACACAAGGCAGAAGCATATCGCGACCGAGATCTTATCTGCCTGATATCTCAGGAATCAATCACGTGTCGTGTCTCACTCAGTGGTCTGATCGACTCAAAGATATTCTTCTCGAAGCTGAGTATGATTGTATTCATTTCATCCGTTTCCTTAGATACTCAAATGCCCTCATACACAGTATCATACTGTCTATCTGCGCTGTGTTTGACCAGGTGCTCCGCACCGAATAGTCTAGTCCTTACCCTACCGAACGTGGGGCGCACAGCACAGATTGAAGGATTCCAGCATTGCTTCTACGGTACGACTGTTTTGCCCCCTGCGGATGATGTCGAATTACAACTTATTCAGTACGTACTCCTTAGAACCCTCCAAGAATGAGGTTCAGTGGCCTCTACTCCATCTCTTTTGTGGAGCCCCTTCCCGACCATTGGATCCCTTCTGGGTCACGAACGATGGGTCTGCATCGATTCGAAATTCTGATCTGGCTTCACGCAATGGCGCGGAGAATGGAGCTGGGAAAGCTCGGGGCATGGAAGGCGTGGTTCAAAAGCAGCGGCTGTGGACGGACAGCATGGTGGTCGTCTCCTGTACCCACGTTTGGGCGTCAAAGGTATGTACTGTACGTAAATCCGGGATTATCAAGCTTGTGTTTGTCACTCAGGAGAACATCCGAGTCAACACATGTATCCGATACAAAGGAGGCAATCGAAGCCTGCAATGCTCGACGAAGATAGTGCAATTCACACGCAGCCACGCTCGGCTCGGGGAACGCATCACCGGCAGCAGATTGTGGATGGGTGGACCCTCACCATCAGCTAGTGCTGAGTAGTATGCCGAAGAACGCATTAGTGATATACACGGACCAATGCCTCGCGTGTATCTCCACTCATTGCTGATCGCTCAATCCTGCACGAGCGACCGCGCGACGTGAAGAATCAGGGTTGGCATAGGACAACTTGGGATTCTGCAGGTGCACTTGAAGTCTTGGGTTTCGCACCTGGCGGGCTGCCTTGATAGGACATTCAGCCGAAGGATCAGCGTATACTTGATTGGCAGCTGTCAGTTTGCTATGATCGGTCAGTGTGGAGTGCAGACAGGGCTGGTAGCACTAATGAACGGAAGACTTGCTGGCTTTGGCTTGACCTGCGGTGATGATGCGAAGCAGGGTGCGACTGAAGTTGCCATCAATCAAGGCATCCCTACATGCTTGAGCTTGCGGTGAGAGATGTCAAACATCACCATTGCGATCGAGACCCGCGTCGTACAATGAACACGGACTCGATGTCAAATCCGCACGACGGGAATCGGGTCAGGCCAAGGAGATGCTGCAGGACTATTTAACCTCCCCCCCCCAGTAGTCTCATCTTCAGAGGCTGAAGATGACCTTGAGAGGAAGTGCCGGGCCCGCCAGTGAATATCCCGTTACTGGGAGTCTCCTTCCGTCTGGCCACATTGTGGGAAGACGCTGCTCAGCATTGCAGACCAGCACTTGCCGGCCTTCGGAGGCTAGAAGGAAGACTAATGCAGCTCTTGCATCGGGAGAGGGGCCATGGCAAGTAAGTCAAAGCCCGAGCACGAGTAATCGTGCAGACTCACTCGTGGAAGACTTGCCCAATTGCCCAATTGCCCACTGGAGAGGGGACAATTGACAGCTGCTGCCCCTTTCACGTGCCGTGTGACTTTGAATGCAGAGTCGAGTGCATTGTCACATCGGGGCGGGGCTTGTTGCGCATTGAGGGCGATCGGAGTCGAGGTAATTAAGCTAACTAATCTTAGATATCATCAATTCGTCAGTGGTCTGCAATTGTGCAGCATGCAGGAAATAAAAGTTGTAGGAAACTTGGAAGGAGGCGTGCGCGGAACCAGTTGCTACAGATGTAGTCCCGCACTGTCCAACTTGATCAATGTGTAAGCAAACATGAAGAAATCGGGCTCAAATCTACGAAGTACCCACGCAATACTTCTACATACTTGCGCAGCTTCATAAGGACTCTAAAATTTCTCAGTTATCAGTAAGGATTACCTGGTGCAACGCGCCCTGGTAACCCCCCGTAACGTACCCACAGTTCTCGCCAACAGTATGACCCACGAGATAGAACGTATTTGTGGCAATTGACCACAAGATATAATCATTATTCTTCCAGTACAATATACAACTCAAATCATCGGGAAAGCAACCGCGCGTATCTGAGAAGTATTCTACGCGGCAACTCCAGAAACACCATGCAAAACACCATACATACCTCTCCCTCAATGCCACTCCCTTGTTTGGAAAATTCCCCCCCACCACTCCTACACCTTCATCCCTTTGCCCCGATGGATGTCAGGGAGAAGCAGCATAAGAAGGCTACAAGTTCAATCCGGTGAATGCTCTTCCTGACTTCCAACCCTACGACACGACACACCCTCTAGAAATTCCACTCCCCTCCCCCAAACCCACGAGCCATACCACTCTCTCCTTTGCGAAACTCAACATCAATTGAAAATGGACGTCTCTCTCACATCCCTCATAATCACCGTCCTAACCCTCACCCTCGCATCCACCGTCATCGCCCTTCCTCTCCCCGAATTCCTCCCCTGGGCGCTCGCGGATACCATATTGCCGGGCTCGGGGATCCCCAAAGCCGTGGAAAAGCTGGGAACGGGGGTTCAGTGAGTGCCTGTAACCTGTAGCCCAAGGGCCCAAGGGCGCGAGGTGAGTGGTCTTGTTCTTTAGAGGAGAAAGACAGCGTGGGATACAGTTCGGTCGTGTAAAGGTATGGGTGGTCTAGCTAAGAGGTTCGCATTTAGATCCTAGTGTACGGAACACCTTGATAGAATGAACCCGGGATACTGGCAGTTAGCCCAACGGGAATCGACTTGCTGTGAAAATGTATAATATATATAACGCAATCAGCAAACTGATCTCTATTCGAACGGCCGTCATGGCGGGATACTTAGCGCTCCTTTCTAGAGTAATTGATTCTCCCCGCATGGCAAGCGGCACTTCTTCAGTGGAAAGTTGATGGTTAGCCTGGTTGGTTGGTCATACCCTGAAACCAGGAGCTCTGCCTGTACGCAAAATGGTGCTTGGCATGTGGAAATGACAACTTGAGTTCAAATCGGAGAAGGTACAATGCAATTCTCGATGCTATATAGTCGACCACGACGGACAGCATAGTGTACAGCCTTCTTGAACAATCTCTATTTAGAATAGACCTTCCATATCCAAGTCAAGAAACTCCGGATTCCCAACCGCCATATCAGCCGCGTTCAAAACATCATCAATACTCGTATCCAGACCACTAGACGATTCAAGTCCCATACCACCCATGGTCTGACCTCCGTCCATTCCCACTGCAGCCGCAGCGGCCGCATTATCTAACATGCGATTGAGATTTGCCGCGTCGTCATCAGTGACACCATGCCCGGATGCTCCCTGTGGATCGAGATCCATCTGCCCAGGGCCTCCAACGCCAAGCTGCATGTGCTGTATTATGTTATTCATATCCAAATTCGGGACCTGGGCCGGTGGCGTCATGAGTGCGTTTACCCGCCGATTCAGCCGGACGATGACTTCGGCGCGTAATGGATCCTTTTCGGAAATCTTCGGTATGTTGTCATGAAGTAGGTTGAGAGCGCTCCGGAGGGTGAGAATTGGGCATCGTGGGAAGGATTCTTTGGTAGGATCTAGGGGCTGGTGAGAGTGATTGTTCTGGTCGATGGCAAAGTGCTCGGCCATAGGTGCGCAAATCAGCGTCGCTGCAATATCTAGGGCTACATCACCGCTGCCAGTCTCGGTCTGCAGCTTCAGTTCTTCAACTAAGGCGCCGAGAACGCGCGTGGCCCCAAGAAGCAGAACGCCAGTCACGAGTTGTCGGTGCGTGTAGGAGTGCGGTGCAACACTGACGTGGGGGCTTGCGCTCCACAGTACAAGGGACTGGAAGGCACTTCGTATACTGCCTAGAAGCCCTCCAGGGGAATGTGATGTCCACGAGTCCAGCTCACTCCGGTGACAGCTGCCACTTCGCTCAAAAGATAAGCATGGTTCAAGTGCATCAAGAATCGGCTTGATATCCGTACGAGACGGGTGTCGGGCACGGACATCCTTCAATTGTTCCTCCAGCCCGCGCGCAGTCATGTTCAAGACGGTGCGATGTATCTCTTTGGCTTCGCCTGATATCGAGGTGGGATTGACCAGGGAATGTAGAGCTTTCAAGGGGATCGATGGGTCGCCCTCTGTTTCCCATATGTGGTTACCAAGCCAATTTAAGGCCAGAACAAGCGATGGAAGAAGAAACGGTTCGAGTAGATCTAGTCCGTGTCAGTTCAGGGCAAAATACAGATTAAAGAAGGGAATGCATTACACTCAGATCCACCTTTGAGTGTGTCGAACTCTAATTTCCCGGCCTCGCATGCCCCAAGACTTTGGCTGAACAGAGTAGCAACAAGAAGATAGAACTCTTGTGGACTACACGCCGACATTGTCTCTTCGCTGATGCCTTCGGCGATAAATAAAGCCGTGATCCAGCCCCCCAAGTTCTTGTTTTGCTTGTCGCTCAGAGAATCCAGTTTCTGACTGCATGAACCGCTTCCAAGAATTTGCAGAACGAATGAATTGCTGCCACCAAGTCCAAGGTCCTGTGCTCGCAAGCCATACCGATATATGAAGGCGAGCACTAACAGTAAGATGCTACCAAACTCGTCGTAGACAGGCTGGCTTTCTCCTTGGTCCTCATCCCAATGCCAGGCATCCAGCAATGAGCACAACGGTTGCAGCACCTGCTTTGTGCTTCGAAACAACAGAATGACATCCATAGCCTGCGGCCGGCGAGAGAGCGAATTACAAATATTCTTCAATGTCATCGTTTCCTTTTGATTGCAAAGATTGTGCATGACCTGGGCATGTCAGCTAAGGGTTCTACAAATTCAGAAAGGGTTCGAGGTTCCTACCTCGATGATCGCGCCAACGATTGCACCGGCGTTTCCCTCCATCGACTCGATCTCACCTATCAAGTGCTCGGCTCGTTCCGGATTAGCATTGATCTGGTTGACAAGATCATCTTTGTTATACGGTCCCCCTACAGGGAGTGTTTGCATAGGATTTTCTCCAAGAAGTCGCTCGATGCTGGACTCCGGAATCAATTTGTGCGAGGCGCATGCGAAAAGAAATTCCTGCCTCACGTCCGAAAGAGCAGTATTGCTCTGCATGGTAAACATCTGCGAAAAGGACGGAAACGTATTTGGATCTAGTCGACCCAGCGCATGACTGATACATAGTTCCATCGGTAAGGTAACCATAGATGCTGCCAGCATGGCTGCAAAAAAGGCAGGTAGCTTGTTCACGAGGAACGATCGGAATAGAAACATCGACCGGTTGGACTCGCTACGGTAGCTTGCGTTAGAAAGCACGTCAAAAGCTGCAGTGATAGTTTCCTCAATAAGAACTTCATAATGACCCTGTCGCAGTTAGTGCGATTGTAGCGCTGCGCCTTGGACAACCCACTCACCCCATATCTGCTCGACAAGTAATTCAAAAGCATGCTGTCATCAACCAAAGGACGTCCAATAAGCTAGAACATAGTCAGTACCCGGCTACTAAATGTGTGTGATCTATACGTACCATCGCATTGATATAAACGAAGAGGCCAGCTCTCGAATTGATCATAGGACCGTCCAAAACAGACGCCTCGAACTGAAGCGCGTTGACATTGACACCTTCCATCATCGAGACATCCAACGGCTTAGCCGGCGGCTCACCATAAAGGTTGAACTCTTTCTGCAGGCTGTCAAGTCGATTACGTAGTGGTAGTGATACTTCCACACTGATGGGAAGATATGCCGACAGAGCCTGTCCCAATTTTACCTTCAAGGCTGTATTATCCCGTCAGTAGTGGGATGGTAAAGCATGGATCGTTGAGCCTACCTTCCTGCGAGTCGGCCGAAAGGACCTCCAGTCCTTTTGTAGTGCCCGACAAAGCAGCAAGCAAGATACCCAAGGATTCGAAAAGCGAAACAGCGTCGGGAGAACTGATCAAGCCTGGGCTTTGATGACCGGAATCGATATGACTACTGTTCCAGGCCACAACAGCTTGGATCCAGTCGATGACAGCGGTGAAAATCGATATCGCTTCTGAAAATGACTTGGGGACACTGCCGGTAGAGACGGACAGCATAGCATCTTGGACAACTCGGATGTCCGTCATAAGAGTGTAGCATTTTCGACTCTTCTTGCCCGGATAAGCCTCCACTGATGACGATTGATGTTTGTCGTGGATTGAAGAATGCTTCAGAAGGGCATTCAACACGGTAGACGTCTGGACGAGGCCCATCTTGCAAAGACAGTCTATGTACAACGGAAGAAGCGGGTCCCACTTGATCCCTGTGCTGAGTCGCGTCTCAAGTAGCACATCTAGCAGCAAGGCTTCAGTAATTGGGCAGCGCTGCAACAGTAGTCGCGACAGGCTTTTGAACTCTGCTGCGTCGATTCGATGCAACAAGCATCGATGGAGGAAAATCCCCCATTGTTCGGAAGAAGTCATGTTACAAATCGATTTGCTTGAATTGCTTGATGTTCGGGCGTTGCGGCAAGCATAGCATAAATAGCAGAGTGGAAGCTTTCAATTCATACGATAGAGTTGACTACCCCGGCATTATCGCTCGACATCGTGACATGGTCTGTCCTCGAACTTGTTGATCCCGGAAGACAACTTTAGCCGCAATCATTGTTTGGACGTCAGGTGCTCATCACGTGGGATTATGTAACACATAGTCACGTGACGTTATTGTGGTCACTGCGCGACCTCGGCTTCGTCTGAGACAAACAAGCATCCGCTTTCTTTTAAATACTTGCCAACCGGACGGAGAGCTATCTCATACGCGGAGGCCTTCGCAAGCGTGTTTGTCAAGACTTCGAATACCTTGGCGTTGCGCCTCGATATCTGAAACAACAAGCCGGAGACGGCTGCATCCATCGTAGATATACCCTATCCACCTCAGTAATGACGCGTCGGAGCATATGAATCTCTGATAGCATGAATCATGTATACTCAAGTGAGAGAACACCAAGGATAGCGCCTGGATGACAGACACATCCAGTCACCTTGAGGAGGTGATTTCCAGGTATTGTTCTGTACTACTTCCTATAAGATACAGGGTGGAGTTTGACCGTATAGCGTCGGAACTGAGAGTCTGCCGTCGGGAGCTTCCCACACGAGAAGACAAAGTCAAAATCGTAGACAGTACTAACAGTGTAGGTACTAGGTACTAGGTAGTGACAGTACAGTACCTCTAGGTACTCATTCTGCCACTTCCTCTTCCTGATAATAAACATTACAGTCACACCGAAAACAGATATCTCACCTGAGACCCGATCTAGGCTGGTCTGAAGACGATCATGGGCTCTGTATGGGCAATCGTCCTTAAAGTTCATCAGCCATATCTAGGGCAAACGGCAAGCAACCAACTGGTGGGGAGCTGGACCCCGGGGGCTAACGATCCATTGCCATTAGCTCTTCGATAGCTTCGGCACTCAGCCGTAAGAGTTGGAAGGGATGTTTCAGTTCGGTTACTTAGGGCTAGACCGTTGTAAGGTATTATTTCCGATTATAATGTCATTGGCTCTTAATCCGCATCGAATAGCACTCCAACCGCCACTTCGCAATATGGCCGTAGATCATATTCAATCATTGGTGTGTCTGACTCGCCAGACATGCT